CACATTTAAAGTATAAAAAGATCCAAGCAGGCAAATTACCCTGCTCACACGGTTGTGTGAGTGTTTGCTTCCTTCTCCTGCAACACTGTGGGTTTTTTGCCAAATGTGTTTGTTTTCACTGCTTAGAGCCTTATAGATAATTGTGGGATGAAGACTGTGCTTGAGAGATACTTGAAAGTGTTGTTCACTGTTGCAGAAATGCTGGGAGAAAAATCTAGAGTAAAGTGCAAGAGCAATTTAGATTCTGTAATTTTCTAAATGTAAATAAAGACTACATATAGCCATTTTCATTGCACTGTAGGCTGCAAGTCAGAGGGAAAATAATGTTCTCCCACACCAAAGCCAACAAACAGCCCTATAACTACCCTGAACAGAAGAAAAGCAGAGCTAGCAAAACATGCTCTAAAAACCACTATATTATTCTCCCCCGCCTCTTGAATCCATCAATGTAATCATACCTGAAACATCTCGAGCAGAAATTGGCTTGATTTTCAGGAATTCATGATTAACAAAGCTCCAAAAGAGCTGGGGGGCTGCAAGTTCTCTGAACACACCTCAGGGGCTGCTCTCACCACCTTCACTTTTGGGACAAATTGTCTGAAATCAGGGACCAGGCAGATTTGCCAAAGCTTGCAGCTTCCTGCTGCTCCACACAACCTCAGGTGATGCTCCCAGCCCCAGACCAGTGTCAGTGGTCCCAGCTCTCACTGAATTTGAGGATCTGCACTAACACAGCTGCCAACAACTCCTTCCCCTTCATACAAAAAAAAGGTGTTGTTGTTTTTGCCCAAAAAATTGTTCTGCTGTGTGTCCCATCAGCTCGAGAGCATGAATTCCAGCTCTCCCGCCCAACAGAACCACTGAGAAGTTATTTCTTTCAAAAACAGAAAAATAAATAAATAGGAGGAATAAAATAAAAAAAGAGGGCAGGGACATGATGTAGATGAGGAAAGATTGCTCCCTACCACCCAGGTACAGCACAGCAAATCAGGAAAAAAAAAATAAAAAAAGCAGATACATGTGAGCAGTCATTGGATCCCTCAGCTTACTGTAATTAAAGCCTATTTTATTCTGCTCATTGGAAAATGTGCCCTAAGCTTAGCCAAGGAGCACTTTGAGGATATGTTCTGGTCCTAGCCAAGAAGATCCCAATTTGTTTGTAAAGAAAATTTTAAAAAAAGAAAGACAAATATAAGCAAATTCATTTGCCAAAAAATATATCCTGTAATGATAGACCACTTGCCTGAAAACCATTTTCTTTATGCAAAGTGCCACCTGAGCTGACAATTAAACTTTAGGGCGTGAGAGGTGGGACACAACGACTTTATTCAATTAATTCTGTTCTCTCGAGCCCAGTCTGTGTTTGGGTTGCAGTGGGTACAACAAGCTGAAAATGTGTGTTTCACCAGCAGATGGTGAGGCTTTATCTGCACAAGATTGTGCCATTTTGCCTGAAAGGCAGGAAACTGCTAACGGGTGTTGAATTAAAACCACTCTACAGTTAAGAAATAAACTTGCCAAATCCCTCTGAAATCTCACAGATAATGATGCATCAGACATTGCAGTGAGGCAGATCAAAAAGCTTCCTCAAGGTCTCGTTTCAGGACCAGAACCTCCAATACTGTGATTTAGGAGTGGGCCTGTTTCTATTTATTAGGATAATTTTTCTTGTCCTCAAAGCTGGGGTTTTTAATGGAAAACAGGCAGACTCAATGCAAATATGGACAAAAGTCATACGGGCTGAGAAGATTTAAACACTATTTCTTGCTTTCTCACTGAATTTGATTGTATTCACTTCATTTTTCGAGACACCAACATTTTCCTCCAGGAACCCTGAGAGCCAGAGCGTGAATTTCCAAGATCACTCTTCATCTTTTCCAAAACTTGCTTACTGGCACTATCTTTCCAAGTTTAACATAAATTCCAGTTGAAGCACAAAAAATGTGCACAGCAATACAGGGGGTTTGGGTTTTGGGGTTTTTTTTTTGATTTTTTTTCTGACTGGTGCTGCTGGTTTTGATGAATTCTTAACAGCGAGTATTTTCTATAGGAGTGAAAAAGGAATAATTCCAAGGTATCAAAAGTGGCTGACTATACTTAGTCCACTATTAGGTAACTAAACAGTCTTTTTCAGAAGGGCTGAGACCCTGTCAAGGCTACTTTAAGTTCAGTGTAGGTTTCCCAGAAAGAACCTTCATTCTATATTCTCATTTACATGCTTTGCCCAAATATCATGTTTAATGGTTGGTGGCTGGCTCTTGGCTTCAGTTAAAAAAAAAAATCTGGAAAAACACAACTTGTCAGGGGCTGAAAATGTCAAAAAATTAATGATTTCCTTCCATTGAACCCATTGGTTGGAAAACGTTTTAGGTGCAAAGAAAAAAAAAAAAAAAAGGTATTTTATCCCTTTTCCCAAAATTGCCAATAAAATATCTGGCAAAAGAGTTGCTGCTGTCAGTGTGCTGCATATTTCTGTTGGTCTCCTTGTGTTGGTGGGAAATGAGTACCCAAGTAATATAAAGCTTTTTCTGTGTCTCCAGTAGTGAAGCCTGTGTTTCAAGCATTCCCAATTCCCAATTCCCAATTCCCAATTCCAGGGGCTTGCTTTGATTCAGAAGGAAAATTTGTGTGAAAGAGAAACTTGTCACCCACAACATGTCTTGTTGTTGTTGTTGTTGTTGTTGTTAATTTGCTTTTTCTTTTAAGTGCACAAAGCATCAGAACTGTCAGGGGTTTATTTTTAATCCATAAAACCTCATAAAGTCATGCAAACATGATTTTTTGGATTGGACCAAGCTGTTACTGGAGAAAATTCAAGGAAGTATCAAGATAAAGATGAATGTGCACCACTTGTAGCTGCACAATCACTCTTCTGATAGTATCTCCAAGAAACCTGATATCAGGGGGATCCCCAGCACACTTGACAAATTTTTCCCCATGCCAGAAGTCTTGAATGGAATTGTGAATAGACAATATTTTTTGGAGAGTGCATAGAGCTGGGAAACAAATTTAGAAACAGCTGAACACACATGCACCCTGATATATAAAACAAGTCAAGGCTATTTAAATTTTGGCTATAGGCAAGAGTCACCTCTAAACTCAGAAATTCAATTTAGAGCCTGAGTGTTGGTGTAATGATGCTGATTTTTATGATCACAAATTATGCTAATGAATTTAAAGCCATCATAAATCTTGCTCACCTGCACACCCATAAAAGAGGCAAATTTTCCACCTGCATAGTATTTAAATTCGGTGCAATTTTAGGAGAACATCAGGGAAATAGATTGGATGCACGAATTTAATTATGTTATCATTCTTATTAATTACTAGAGAAGTAATAAATCATTGTAACAACAAGAGTGGTTAGAAAGTATGAGAAATAAGTTAAAAGCCAAAGAAAAAGGAACAAATGAGGCAGCTGCTCAGAACCATGGGATCCAAAAACCATATGGAATAAGTTATGAGGAAAATCTATTGAAGCAATGAACATAAATGATTTCAGGAGACACCTAAATTGTTTCCGAAGGAAGAGACAGAGGGAAGTGGTCAAAAATGAAAGAAAAATAAGGTGGAAAAAAAGATCAATCAAAGCAGAAATCTGTTGGACAGATGGTACTACTCTGTTCCTCGAATATCTTAATTTCTTAACATTGAAAATTACAGTAAAAATATAATGCCCATTCACTCAGTAGCCTGAATTAAAAAATAAGATCTCAGCTCCAATTTTAATTTCCTCAAATTCATAGAATCACAGAATGGTTTGGATTGAGAAGGACCATGGGAAGGGACACCTTCCACTAGACCAGGGTGATTAATTAGTGTCACAACAACTCTGCTTTTGGAATATATAAGCACTACATATTATCTTATATATATTTACCTTATTTTACAGCTGATGTCTGGAATCACCAAGGGGGCCTTGGTACCACCCTGAGCCACCAGTGAGGCAACAGAAAGCTTCAGCACCATTTCCCACCCCTCTTTGCTGTCACCTGCCACACACAGCCATGTCCCCAGGAAATGTCTCGTTTATAAGCCCTTTAAGAGCACTTTTAGGTTGTGGTTATTTACATGAAATGGCAATAAGTGAAGCCTGCCTTGCCCCACGTGTCTTTCCACACCAGCTGCAGCCACATGGTCTGCAGCAACAACAGGTGTGTCCAGATGCTCTCTGATTTAAAAGTTCACTACTGGAAGGGAAAATAATGACCAGTTTGGGCTTTTTCTTAATGTAATGTTCTTCACTGGGTGCTCAACAGCAAATAAATCACCTGTTCCTCCTACAGAAGAGATTATTTTGGATGGGGAAAAGTTTGATCATTTCCTACGTCCATCAGCTCTTTGATTTAGGTTTTTCGATGGTGGGTGAAGATGTTTTCCCTCTCCTTCTGCTGATTTTCCTTTTTGTTTAAAGTCAGGAGGTATCAACAGCATCTTAAAGTTTTATGGCAGAATTATGGGTTACAGGCCCCCTGAACCAGCTGAGGATGGCTGCTGCGGAGCTGCCCCACAGAGCAGGCTCCAGAAATACTTGTGAGGCTCCTCTGTGCACCCCAGAGACCCAGCAAAGGCCAAGAGTGGAGTGCCAGATCATCACCCAAAAATGCATCCTGGTGCGTGAGGAGATTTGCCACACATGGCCTTGCGCAAGGCAAGATCACAAACCAGCTCCAGCAGAGACCCTTAAATTACCACAGTCTCAGATTTTTGAGTATTTCTATGTGAAACCTTAGAGAGCTCCCACACATACAATAACAGGAACTGAGAACAAGACCTTAGAAGCTAAACCACAAAATATTAGGTATCCCAAAATGAATTTACTGGCTGTTTGCTTGGGTCTGCATTTAGCGACAGTGGGGGTTTTTTTGGCTGCTTTTTTGGGGGTTTTTTGTTGTTTTTTTTTTTTTTTCCTTAATGCAGCTTCCCTCATTGCTAGTGGGAATTTGATAAGCCACCACAAAAAGAAATGAGTGAGTGATTTCAGCTCAAAGGCATCTTACCAGTGGGCTACCATCAGTCCAGCGGAAGTCACGCTCAAACATCTTGTCATTGAGGCCAATCCACTGGTAGTCATGGCCAATACCTAGGGAACCAGAAGGGTGTTTTCATTAATTTTCCCATAAATGGAAGAGGCTTCACCAAAGAAAATAATTTTATGCGGAGTGAATCAGACATCCTGTTCTTAAGATTGTTCTGCTCTTTGTGCTAAAGACTGGTTTAGAGGCTCTTTTTCAGCTTTTTTGGTTTTAATTTGGGATGTGTATAAAAATGCAGATTCTCATCTAACAGTTTTAAAGGACCCTGTCTCTTCACTCCCAGGGATGTCTACTACAGCAAAGAGAGTTCATTTCCTACCTGAGAGGGTATGACAGGAAGAAAAGAAAAAAAAAATTAAAATCATATATTCTAATCCACATTTTTCAAGCTTTGGTTAGGCTGTGGCCATTGTTGTCTAAATTTTCCAATACAACACAGTAGCTATTTCTTTATGCCTAATTATGGTGGCATTGTGTTGATGTCACCATGTGCACAAAAATGTGTCATATGCACAAAATACCTTAAAGTCTCCAGAAAACAAAATGTTTCAAAAAGACTCAATGCCAAAACAAAAGTTCTTGTTCTCATCCCACCCCCAAAAAAGTATTTTCTATTTAACAAATAATAACTTAATAGTGATGGAAAAACTTGTATTAAGTGCAGAAGTAAGCATTTATAACACAAAGTGTGCCTTTTGTTTAACATTTTAAAGTATGTTTTAAGTTGGAGATGCAAAAGCTGAGTGGTGAGGAGGAGATCTCACCATCTCTACACCCTCAGTGATCTCTCTTGTTTAGAGTCACAGAATATCCTGGGCTGGATGGGACCCACAGGGACCATCAGTTCAGCCCCTGTGCCTGCACAGAAACCCCAACAATCCCACCCTGGGCATCCCTGGGAGAGTATTCCAAATGCTCCTGGAGTTCTGGCAGCAAAGGCTTTGTCTTTGCTTCCTGGAGCAAAGGCTTTGCCTCAAATGCACTTGAATAAAGCACTGCATGTTTTAAATTTTTTAAACAGCTCTTTTGCAGAACCTATTCCACCAGTCATCAGAAATTTTTCCAACACCACACGGGCAAAATTAAAGGAAAATCCTTCAGTTTTGATCAGAAATCTAAAGCCTTGAGGCCATGCCTATTCCCTGGGGAGCCTGGGCAGTGCCCAGCACACTCTGGGATAAGAACTTTTCCCTGAAGTCCTACCTCAACCTGCCCTGACACAACTTCAGGCCATTCCCTGAGGTTCTGACCCTGCCACAGGGAGCAGAGATCAGAAATGCCCCTCAGAGGACATTGGGGACCACACTGAGGCCTGACCTCAATCTCTCTTCTCCATCCGAACCACCCAAGTGACCTCAGCTCCCGTCCAGACCCTTCTCCATCTCCGCGCCCCTCCTTTGGACGCTCCCTGAGCTGTCCCTGGTGTGGTGTCACCCGCGGTGTGAGGCAGAGGAGGCCCGTGGGTACGCACGGTTGACGAAGATCTGCTCCTCGTGGGACAGGATGCTGGTCAGGTGCGCTCCCTGCAGGCGGCACTCCCGCTCCGCCGTGTCCCACGTGCGCCGGTGCGCAAAGTACTTGTAGCACTGACCCTGGAACTTGTGCCAGCCGTAGTCACAGGTCTCCGTGTCTGCAGCAGTCGGACAAAGCACATTCCTGTCAGTGCTCCAAAATCAGGCATGTTTGGTGGGTGCTTCAATACCAGGCGTGTTTGATCAATGGAGCAAAATCAGGCACATTTGGTGAATGGACCGAAATGAGGCACATTTGGCCAATGCACAAAGACGAGGCATGTTTGATCAATCAACCAAAACCAGGCACGTTTGGTCAATGGACCAAAATCAGGCACATTTGATCAATCAACCAAAACCAGGCACGTTTGGTCAATGCACCAAAACCAGGCACGTTTGGTCAATGCACCAAAACGAGACATATTTGATCAATGGACCAAAATCAGACATGTTTGATCAATGGACCAAAATGAGACACGTTTGGTCAATTCACCAAAACCAGGCTCATTTGGTCAATTCACCAAAACCAGGCTCATTTGGTCAATTCACCAAAATCAGGCATGTTTGGTCAATGGACCAAAACGAGACATATTTGATCAATAGACAACAATCAGGCATGTTTGGTCAGTGCACCAAAATCAGGCATATTTGATCAATGGACCAAACCAAGCATGTTTGATCAATCAACCAAAACCAGGCACTTTTGGTCAATGGATCAAAACAAGACATATTTGATAATCAACCAAAATCAGGCACATTTGATCAATGACCAAAACCAGGCACGTTTGGTCAGTGCATCAAAACCAGGCACGTCTCATCTACACCAAGGGATTTTCTGTGGGACAAAGCTTCAAGAAAAACCCATTTTTGTCAAGGCATGCAAAATCAAACACTCATCATTTGAACCTCATTTTCAGGTAGTTCTGCTTGCCCAGTCTCGGTACACCCCTCCTTGAGACCTCACTTTCAGGCAGTTCTGTTTACCCACTTCCAGAACAAACTGCAAGACTATTACTTATCTAAGGCATATAATTGCAATTGGAAACTTTGTGGGTTTCCACTGATTGAATTGAGCTGAATCTGGGCAATTTCAGAGGACATCCACATCTGTCACCCTGGATGGATGAAATCCCTGCAGTGAACCTTCATTTCACCAGTTTTCTGAGCCTGTATGTGGGGATGGGAATTTTTACTTGCAAGGACAAATGGTTCTTCAAGTCACTGTATTAACTTAAGTTTGGAAGAAACTGATAACTCAAAATTATATGAAGGGAAATTATTGTAATTGTTTAGTCTGCAGAAGCAAAGCTGCAATATTATCTTTCTGAGCTCAGGCCTCCAAATCCTCCCCCAAAACCCATCTTCCTTGATGAAGTCAACTTTAGGCATCAGTTTGTTAGGAGGTTTGCAAAGCTGAAATAAAAAGTAATGAAATTGCACATTGCCTGTGCTTGCATGAGGCGTGGTGCTGATAAGAATGCATCACAGAGAGGATTCACACCAGCCACGATGCACAAGAGAAATAAACACAAGCCTTGGAACAGGAACAAAATGGATTTGACGTTAATTATTCTGTCAAGGTTAGGCAGCTGTAAACAGAATAGATGGCAAAAAAAACCCCAAGAGTTTCAGTTCCAAGTTTGCTTCCGCAGGGATGAATCAGAGGAAAAAATCAGCATTAATAAGATGGGCAAAACAAGTGTCTGATTGTGTGACCTCTCAGCTGTGCTTGAGGATGGGAAGGACCTGACAGTGATAAGAGGGAGTTTTAGGCAGGAGTGGGAGAAGCAACAGGGGAAAGGCAGGGAGTTTGAAGCCATGACAGATGCAATGGCATCATAAAGGAGGACATTTCAGCAAGAGGTTACAGCGTGTTTCAGCCACAGCTATCTCAGCACGGGATGGCTCACCCTGAGGGGCCTCAGGATGCTGAGGAACAGAAACACAAGGCCCGGCCTCCCCCACCCCACCCACCCACCAGGAATCAGCCACTTCCCAACAAATCCTATCAGCCCCCTGAGCAAAACGGTGTCTGCAGCCTCTCCAGAGGTGTTCCAGCCTCTGCAGAGTTATGGAGGTGTTCTGGGCTGGAAAGTGGATTTCTCATTCTCAGTCAGTCAATGCAGTCAGGGGTCAATAACATTCTCTGGCCAAAGGGGCTCTTTTTGCCTGAATACAGAAACAGCCAATACTGCAACTGTATTGCAGTACATGCCAAAGGATGATGGCTTCAAGTACCTTAACTAAGGGATTACTTAGGTTTGAGCTGCTACTACCGCCTAAAAAGCAGTTTTTCCCAGCACAGGTTTTTAATTCACAGCAGGAAGAGGCCATTTCCATCCTGATTCACCAAATTGTCTATTTTTCAAAAAAAAAAAAAAAAGGGTTTAAATCTCCCATGACACAAACTAGATTTTACATGTACATAAATGGATTACAAAGTGCAAACAAAATGTGGCAAAAGCCACGTCTGAGGCTTATCAGAATTTCTCTGACACTAATAATGTAGTCATCGTCTGAGGAGTCTGATATCAAAATAATTTCCCAAAAGTCATCAGTATTGACATAAATGTACCAAATGCAAAGACATAATCAAGCTTACACTGATTATGTCCCTTCTATTTCCAGGAAGCTGAACTGTAGAAAACTGCTTGTGCCTTGAGTCATCCCAGCTATAAGGAAAGGAATGTAATCTACATAACCAAATTGTTAGCTTTTTTATCTTTTCTCTCTTTGTATTCTGTGTGAGGTGCAGGCTGCAGACACAGCTTTAATCTCTGGCATCTAGGTAATTTTTAAAGTTTAGTCTGCCTTGGGCTTTCTAGAACATTTGTTTAACCACACAGAGCTGACTAACAGACCTATTGTGAAGGCACTTAAGATTTTATTATTTATCTTGTTCAGGGACTCCTTTGTCCCACAGGAAACAAGTCAGATAATAACAAGGAGCTGAGAAAAACTTGGCCAGAGAGGATTTCCAGGCTACTCTAATCAAACCTTCCCTGGCCTCTGCTAGGGAAGAAGTGAATGATTTGAGAGAAGGCACACTGGGGAGGCAAAGGGGCTTGAAAATACAAAACTGAGAGGACTGTGTTTACTTAGTTAGATATAATGGCCTGAACATGAATTATAACACAATTTCTCTTCTTACAAAAAATCACACAATTTCTCTTCTTAAGAAAAAAGGTGCCAAACACTGACAAAAAGTTAAGTAATTTTCTGCACCTGTGTTTATCCCAAATCTTAAAAAAAAAACCAAACCAACAAAATGGAACGAACCAGAACTGATGGCTATAAAATACATGATGTTTTTCGGTGATGGAAAAGAGGATTTTTTTTTGTTTGGGGTTGGAGAGTGGCTGGGGATTCTGGGGTTTTTCAAGGCATTTTGCTTTTGTGGTTGGCATTTTTGGGGGTTGGTTTGGTTTTTTTTTTAGAGGAGAGGTTGACAAGAAGAGGGGAAAAAACATATAAGGGAAAGAAAGATCCAAGATGACAGAGGATGAAGAATGCAAACCAGACAAGCAAAACTGTGAGGACAATTTCATCTCTGCAGAGTTTTGTCCTCCGTGTGCAACCCTTACTCAAGGAAAGCTGAAAGGGTGACAGAAAGGTAAAAGGGTTCCATATGGGTATAAATTTTCCATGCCTTTACTGAACCACTGAATTAGTGTCTACTGAATTAGTAGACACTAATTGCAGGTAAATTTTCTGACCTGTGAGCAGAGTAGGTGCAAGCACTTATTGAATGCAATACTTCACATTCATTGTGTACCCAGCCACAGACTCGTGTAACCTCACTCCAGCATCTGACAGAAGGACTGAAACACTGCTCACCATATTTGTGGTGTTTTAAAACTCATCCAGGGTTTATGACAATTTACAGGGGTTTTCAGTGGTGTGTGCAAGGAGTTAGTCTCACAGCTTCTGTTCTCTGTAACTGCAGCTGAACATGTGTAACCACATCCCTTAACACTGCACTTAAAAAAGAGTTCTCAGTGGGTTTGATACATAAATAGGGACTGTTTTTTTTAATGCTGCTGTCAATAGGTCCATTGTCTTTAAAGAAATTCCAGAAGGGGCTTAAAGGAAATAAAGACTGACACAGGTACCAGAACATAATGAGAGTCTTACTCAGCTGTGAATTTTATCAGTGACTCTCTGCCTTCAGCTAATGAGGAAATGCTGGAGGCCACTTAGCCCACACATCTCAAGGAGAAACCCATTTCTCTAGTAAATATCCAAAATAATCTCTTTTCAGCTGATAGACATCAGTAGGAGACCATCTGTTTTCTGAAATTACCTTTTCCCTGAGCCCTTCTCAACTACTTCAACCCCAACCAACCAAGCCCTGGGAACAAAGTGAATTAAATGAGACTGGAGTAATCACAGACATTGAAACAATGAACCTGGGTTATAAGAACACATGATTCCTGGTAGGGTGGTTAAAAACCCACAGTTGTTTTGTTTTCAGAAGCTGGAAGAGAGCAGCTGGTTGAATTATCCCACGGAGGCGCATTCTGTTACAAACACACATGTGCCATTTTTGCACACATGTCCAGCTGCAAGCAAGCCAAACCTTAGGCTTAAAACATTCATTGAGAGCAGGTAGACACCAGCTACAGCAGAAAAAGGAGAAAAAGAAAAGGAAACTCTAGCCAGCCGAGGAAGGAGGAGGAAAATCCACAGATGTGTTTGTCCAGTTCTCATAAAGAGAACTTGCCCTTAAAATTGAGGTTCAAGTTGCAAGTCTCCACCATTTCCTGAGAGTTGTGATAGGGGCTTTTCACAGAGGGATGACAATGAAAAGATTGATGGCTCTTCCAGAATAAAACTCACACCAAGATTTACTGTAATCTCCTGTCACTCTTTGGGAAAGTGTTTTGGGGATATTTATGAATTTTAAGGGGCGATGTTCAAATGTCAAAAAGTGACAAGCAGAATATCCATCTTTCCTTTGAAAAGGTGGTGGGCAAAAGAGGATATTGTCCCTTTTAATCTCACCAGCACCAGAAGTGATGATTAGCTTAACTGAGCTAACAATCTAGCTCAAAGGCAAACTTTTGAGGGAACTTTCAGCTGCACTATTTCTAACATCTGACAAATCCAGCTCGCTTCAGGAAGATGTTCCCCGGCTCAGATTGCTGAACTCTTTCCACCTGGCAAGAGGAAGGGCTGTCAGGGAGCCAGTTCCAGCTCCCTGAGCCTCAGGACTGATTTGCCTCAGCCTGGATTAGATCACCCAGAAGGTTCCTTCAACTGCACCACCTGCCAGAGCTCCCTGCCGTGCAGCTGTGCTGTCCCCTGGTCACATCCCCTCCAAATGCTGACACAAGCATGATACCCCTCTCCAAGATCCCTCAGTCCAGAGCAGTCCCACAGGGGCACTTGGGTGAGATTCTGAGCTCTGCATTTCCTTCTGCACCAGTGAAGTGGGTGCAGATGTGGTGACCTCCTGCTCTGAGCTCCATTTCCAAGGGCAGTGCATGCTCCCTGCTCCCATTCCCTCCCACGGCATTTTGAATGCTCAGCACTGTGCCTAAGAAATCCCTTCAGCCTGATTTTTTTTTTTTTTTGAAGCTTTCTAAAATGAATAGTATATTTGAAATTAAATTTTTAAAAAAAAAGAAGTAATGAAATATAATCTTGGTGTGCTGAGCTCCACCTTTCCTGTGGCACCGAGGTGCACATTCTGTCGTCCTGGCTGGTCTTTAAATCTAGTGAGGTCAGGACTGATGCCTTGAAATAAAGCCTGCTTGCCAGACAACCATGTCTGAATCGCCAACACAGTTTTATTTTGTCTGGTGGAGTGGAAATTTGGCACTAAAACCTTTTCCCAAGTCCCAAACCACTGCAGGACTTTAAGTGGAGGAAATTTAAATTCCAAAGCTGAGAGAGCACAGCTCTGGTTCTGATTGACAAACTAGGAAATGTTCCCATTAACCACCTAAAATGCACTCTCAGGTTGGTCATAAAAAGCAGCTTAAAGCTAGCATGGCACTCAGAACCACTCACTGCTATGGATTTGCTGGAATGAAGGGGAGGAGGAAGGGAGTGAGAACATTTATTTGTTTTGGTGTGAAAACACTGTCAATTTTTAATTTGGGAGGCAAGACTCAGAAAGCCTTCTCAAGTTACAAGGTTAGCCAGACTGATGAAAAGGTTAAACAGTAAAAATGCTGGAGCTGATCAGCTCTGAGATTTTTCATCTTTAACAAAGATCTCTACAGGTTGAGCTGGAAGAGTTTGCAAACCACTCTTCACTGAAGCTGAGAAACAAACATGAAAATACACAATATTAATTAAACAAATCCAAAGGTTTAGTTCATTCACCTGTGGCAAAAATCATTCAGCTGAAGGAAAAAGAAAAACATCTTTTCATAAGTTTAGCAAGCACTATTTCTTTTTCCCACGGAAATGCCTTCATTAATTTTAATGACAGAACAAATGTTGCTACCCTATTCCTCCTCCCACATATTGAGTAAGCATCTTGCACTGCAAATGTTTCCTGTAAATTCTGTGAGGTTTCTTGCAGGCAATTTTCTAACAACTACAGGCACTTGGATATTCAATCTTATTTCAGCTGTTCAGCATAGAAAGCCTTTTACAATCTCCTTGTGATGATAATCCTGCACCTACTTTTCCTAAAAGAATCCCAGAACAAATATTTTTGAAAATTGTAGGATGAAGCTGTCAAAGCTGTGGTCCCCAGTGGAGGAATATACAATCTGTCTTATTCACTAAACTATTCCTACTGATGCTTTTTGGAAGTGATGGGTTCTGATACGTCTCTCACACCACATGTAATTTTTTAAGAGAGAAACTCAGCCACAAAGTAACTCTGCTCTCACTCATTAAGCATCACTACAGTAATGAGAGAGCCTCATTATGTGTCTTCCCTGCAGTTTGCAAGGCAGCATAAACAACGGGGCTTGGAGCCACCTGAAAACTGTTGCTGAAAAGCAACACCTGAGAGCTGTTGTTTTGACACAGAAATTGCCCCACATATCAGTTTATGGTTTGTACATGGCTTCCACTCAGCTTAGCATGTGGACAGGGCTTGTGCAAAGTGAGAGATGGGAGAACGCCCTGAACCACAAGTCAGGGAAGTCTAACAAAAATCAGGAGCTCTCCTCACCACTGGCGACTTCCCGCAGATTTTTGTCAGATTCTTCCACCTTCTCATTTTTAGGAGGCCTTGCCCTGTTGCTCCAGAAGGATTTTGGGCTGGAAATGAGTGTGCAGCAGCACAGGTGAGGGAACAGCCCTTACCTTGCTCACAGAGAGCCCCAACGTAGCTGGGCAGGCACAGGCAGGTGAAGGTGTTGAGGCTGTCGATGCACGTGGCTCCGTTCCGGCACGGGTTGGACTGGCACTCATCGATATCTGCAGCAGAAAGCAAAACTGGTTTCATCACCCTCCCCGCTGCCAGCAGGGAAATGCTCTGCAGCCTCAGTCAGGCTGGTGACTGGGACCAGTTCAGAGCAGAAGAATGAAGTATTGCAAAAGATCCCAGTGGTGGCTGTGGGGATGAGAGGGAGGAATGCCACGCCGCCTTCTCCTGGTGGAAAATCTGACTCGTGTGCGTGACCCTGGCACAACAGAAATTCCCATTAACCACCAGGGGCCTCGAATATCTTCACGAAACTCAAATATTGGGAACTAACTTATCATTTAGCATTAAACAGACTGCTAATTTCAGTCTGCAGAGCAGCAGGCTCTGGAATCTCATTGGTTTGCATTTCTCATTTCTTTCTTGTCTAATCTTATCGAGATAAGGACAAAACATCATAGCACTCATGGTCTCGCACAGTAAACAAATAACATGTCTGTCCCTGCCTCCTCTAGCTGCTAAAATACCTTGTCTTCACCTTTTAAACTGGAGCACAAGTTCATTTTATACAATTATTTTCAGCACGGGTTGCTTTTGCACAGGTTGTAAGCTAGTGTGGCTCCTCATGAAGAAGATCATATGAAGTTTCCTAATGAGTGCTGTTCCTCTCAAACAATCACAGCGTAGACTTCCACACAGATTTTGCAAACATCTCCATCCAGAAATGAACTGCTGGTTGTGGTTCACTCATTAAAATATAAGAGAGAACCTGGACATAATCTACAAGCAAACAGCTAGGAATAATTGCTGCATCACGTAGCAGGCTTAAAAATATATATATATTTCTATTTTAAAATATGCTCTGGTCAAATTTTATGCTGGTCTTACTTGTTCCAGTCATCTTATCATACTTTGGCTGGCTTTCTGGAGGGAAAATTGGTTATTCTGAACCACACAGGTGAGTCTCTTGAAATCTACAGTCACAGGAGGTGCAAAGATGTCACAGGCAACTGGAAGAAGTTCCTCAGCTGAAATTGTTACCAAAATACTAATTTGTACCAAAGATGCATATGATTGTGATAATATCTAAAACTTCCCGCAAAAATTTTCAAGTTTGTGTTTAGTTCTCAGCTTCCCACTCACATTTGGGAATATTTTATCTTACCAGCCTTTCAAATAACTATGGTAAGCTCTTAGAGAAGTATCCCAAATATTAATGTCTATTTTTTTTATTTGGTGTGGTTTTGAATTCAATGCTGTGAATTCCAGCTCCTGCAGTTCATTTACAGTTCCCTTAACCCCTGTGTGTGTGCACAAATCTGTGCACTTTACAGAGAGAGGGAAAAGGGGAGAAACAATGGGGAACTCTCCATTCAATTGTCTCAAAGTAAGGCCTTGGTGTAAAATTTCTCAAACGTCCATGCAGCCTTCAACTCTAAAGCACACCAGATCTCGTGTTCAAGAGCTTTAAACTCGAGCTGATCAGCAGCCAGATGGCACCAGCTTACCCAATTCACACTGCTCCCCGTTGAAACCTGGCAGGCAGGTACAGATGTAGAAGGAACCACGAGGGTAGCAGGTACCACCATTGAGGCAGGGGTTGCTCTTGCAGGGATCTTGACCTGTTAAACAAAGAGAAAAAGGAATTTGACTCCCTAGTTTCAAGGAAATGGTGAATTTTTGATTTTCAGGAGGGAAAAAAGAAATAAATCTTTCTTCATTGCTGCATTGGTGGTGCAGGCTTTACTGTAGTTACAGAAACTGTATTAACGTGCCCCTCAAAATAAGATTTATTAAACAGTAAAGCTGGTCTTCAGGCATCACTACTTTCAACTTAAACAACAATATGGCATTTACTACGAACAATGTAAATTACTCTTGTAATTACTTTTTTTTTTCACAGCAATTTGTACTGTATTTGGCAGTCATGATACTCTGCTGAGGATTTAGTTTGCATGACATGACAATTAATTATAGCTGAAAACAGTTAAACATATGCAAAATGAATGGAAAATGCTTTTTTCTTGAACAGGGTTAGTTTATGCAGAATGACAGGGTACACAGAACATACTGACTGGCTGCTTGTACTGAGTCAATCAACCCCCACCAAGTCTTATTTCTTTTCTCACACGTGTGCTTCCCACCTGCCTTTCTCAAAAATACACTTAAAGAATACAAACAAAGGCTCTGAATGCATTTGACTCTGGACTGAACATGAAGATAAAAACTTACCTGCTGTGAAATCCTCGGTTGTTACTGGAGTTAGCGTTTAAATACCATTTCCTTGAAGAGCTTTATGCCTTCCAGTGATGTTTATTTCCACTGAGTTTAGATACCTGGGTATTTGCATTTGATTTCATGCCTAGGAGCACTCACTCACACAGACAAGTCCACACCAAACCATTTCTGAGAGTTAGTTTCTCACAGTGAGAGGGAAATCCTGAAGACAGCCCTTTCTGATATGCAAAAAATAAAGCCCTGGATTTGACAACTTACATAATAGATAAGAGAGTTCTGTAAATCAGAGGCATGAGAAAAATTAAGATTTTTTTTTTTGGTCATGTTTTCCCAAAACAATCTGACTAGGATTTATGACCAAAAAAAAAAGTTATAATATCAATTTTACTCTTGCAAATTAGAGATGCAAAGTCTTCTTACAGTACCAAGCTCCCTGTCTAGGCATGGGAATGCAGAAGGTTCAGCTGAAAGCCTCCAGAAGAAAATCCTATGTGCAAAAGTTTAGGGTTGTAATTAAGTAAGATTTTCACCTTGGAGGTTTTGGAAAGATTCTGATCCCACCCATTAAATAGGGTGCTTGTTTTAGGACTGCCTCAGTGGAAGTCACAAACATAGGGCTCTATTAAGCACCTTAATGGTGTTTTTTTGAGTATTTGCTGTCTGTTTATCCTTCTACAGACTGGATATTTCCACAGTAAACATTTTCAAATTGCCAGCTAACTGGATTATTTGAGGAAAAAATAATAGTAAACCTATAAAATCAATCCAGTCCAGTTCTTTCCTCAGATGTATCTGGAGAAAATATGAATTGAAGTAATACTACTGGCATCTCCCACGTATTTGATGAAATGGTTCCCAACACCATCACAGAAAACAAAATACTGTGGCAAATTATGTCTAAGAAAAAGTTCTGTAATTTTTTGAGAGACTGACACTGCATCAATGACTTAAACCTACAGACAGGCTGAGAAGAAGGTCTTGGTTTTCTCTTGTGTGGAAAGCTATGTTGTAGGTCAAGAGAAGTTCAATTTTATAGAAAATTCTGATCCTAAAACATGCACTGCTGCTTTCTAGGTCGACTGCAAGATGTTAAAAACAACCCTTCACAGAAACCAATTGTGCAGGAACTATCACAAGAAAAGTCACCAGGTAAAATCATCTGTTGTAAACCAGCAAATTAAATCGCTCCAGCTGATTTCCCTACCACGTAACCAACGTTACCTTCCTGCCTTTTAGAACTGGCTGGTTACCTCCAGTGTGATCCAGAGCTCCATGGTGGAAAGTCACTGGGCTTGGGGTTTCTTTTGGCAGCCCCCCATCCTCTTCCACTTTGTGGGGGCCACAACCAGGCTGATTTCTCAGCTGGAGGGTGACGAGGTCCGTTGCCATTTCACGCAGAGCTCTGACTGCCACACCCCTCACCAGAGCCCAGGCAACACCTTCACAAGTACCACAAACACACATAACACCACAAGGGATCACATTTTGGGGAAGTTACCTGGAATTTGCACTGCTGTGCCTTCAACTGAACCCACACTGGTGCCAATCACGAAATCTGATCCGTTCGTGACTTCCGGGAGGGAAAATGATGAAGTCACAGTTTCCACAGTGTTTGGCTCCTCAGAGCCCAGTGTTGGTGGCTCCTTTTGGTAGGGGCTGTTCCCAGGGGCAATGCTGTTGGTTGCAATGTTAGAAGAGGTGGTTGTGATCTCCCCCTGGCCAAACAAAGCCGCCTGTGTTTCTGTGCCTCCATCCAAAAGCTGGGAAGGCGAGGTTAGCATAGTAACTGCTTCCTGGCCAGGCTTAAATCCTTCACTTTCAATGCTGTTGGGTGAGTCTGAAACAGTTGTGGACACGAGCCAGGGGTTCTGCCTCTCAGCATCCCTGTCTTCCTCTTGGTGGGCATTATTGACTCTCCCTGAGGAAGCTTCCACTTCTGTTGTGGTGACTTTTGGAATATCTGTGCTCACTCTTTCTCCAAAACTCAGAAAAGCAGTAGGCAAGACATGTATTGATGGAGAATCTCCAGAAACAGCAGCTTCTTCCTCACCAGCTAAATCAGTTGCAGGGGTTTCTGTCTCCTCTGTCCCACCTGTTAGAAGCCTGCCAAACTGAGGAGTGCTGTCTGTGCTTGTGCTGTCTGAAACAGGCTCAGGAGAAAGCTCCAGCAGAGAGGATTCTGTTGTGTCAAGGAGGTCACTAGTGGGTGGTCTGTATGTTGCTGTAGTATCAGAACTAACCTCTTTGAAGATTCCTCCTGATGAGTGATTGGACTGATGTGGATCCCTTGATGATGATGATGATGATGATGATGATGATGATGATGTGCTGGTAATGATTACCTCGGGGTACTCAGATACTGTGTTTGCTAAATGAACAGTTACTGAGGATTGAGGAGTTTGAGGAACAGAATAAAAAGTCACTGGGTCTGTCTCCTCGAACTCTGCTGATGCTGATTTTGTGTTTGTGTACACCGTGGGACGATTCCCTGCACCCTTGGTGGGTGACACAGTTGTCAGCTGGGATGCTGGCTGTGTGGTGACAACACTCAACTCAAGCTCACCAGTTGTCAAAGCCTCTTCTGGCTCACCAGTTACAACTGGTGTAAGAGAAGGAGCCACAGGCTGATTATCAGCCAGCTCTTCTTGGCCCATCCCAGAAAAGCCAGAGATTGTTTCACTTTGATCTGCTGTTACTTGGCTGTTTGCTGAAGTACTCGGCTCATAGGTGTCTTCTGTGGGGCTGGTCACAACAGGTTTGGACTCATGAGGAACCTGAGGGCTTGCCAGAGATGGCACTGTAGGAAGGAAGATGCCCAGTTCAGGGAGTTCCGTGGTGGTGAGAGTTTCTGTTGCAAAATTCATGTCATTCCCTGAACCCAAATCCATGTCACCTGAGGTTGGTCTGTGCCCAGAAGTCACCTGCTCTGTACTTGGTGGACTGGAAGTAGTCAGAGGAAGATTATCACCAGATCCAAGTGTCTCTTCTTTGGCTATGGAAAACCTGGGAGTGGAATAATATTTCTCCCCTTCAGCTGTCGTGCTATCATCATAGCCATATGTTGACTGTGTGACAGGATTTGGCATTGTCTGCACACTTATTATATCCTCAGGCATTGATTTGGAGTGATCCATGTCTATAATAGTTGTTTCTTCTGGTGGGGTTTGCAGTCGTTCTTCAATCAGGGTAATATCACCGTAAACAGAAACGTTCAATATTACACTCCTTTTGTCATCAATTATAGGAATAATTTTTTCGTATAATCCAGTGTCACTTGGTAGCTCCTCTGATGAAGCTGTCTTTGGATGAGCAGCAGATGGATTTACCAAAACCTCTGTTTCTTCTGTAAAAAGGGAGACTAGTCCCGTGATTGCAGTCTGTGATCCATCTCTCGGAGCCTCTGTGGTCATCACTTTGGAATAAACAGGTCCAGGAACACTGGATGAAACATTTAGTTCCACTTTGGATACGGTGGGTATTGAGAAATGGGAAAACGTATCAGGGGAAGATGACTCTGAAACACCAACCCAGCCAGATCCTTCCCCAGAGCCCTCAGGTAACACTCTGCCCATCACTTTTGTTGCTGATGTTACAAGAGATTCCTCTGTTTCAGGACTGGGAGTTCCACTCAGTATAACAGATACAGGAGTCGTGCCACCTTTAATCAGAAAATGTGAATTTTCCTCCTGAGAAATAGCTTTAGACGTGGGTGTTGTCTTATCTGTTTCATTTTCTCCTCTCCCGTGCTCAGTTTCCTTTTCCTGTGGTTCTTCATTCACAACAGAATAATGTGTGGTGTCTTCAGTCTCTTTAGAGATGAAGCTCTTGGAGCTGTCTTCTGCTGAAGCTGAGGAACTGGGGAACGTGGAGGTGGGGAATGGGTCTCCAGTTTCTGGCAGCAGCTCAGCTACAGCACTTGTGACTTCTTCATTGACTTCAACATTTTCTGGAGTGCTTCCTCGTTCAAAGTCCTGGGTCATGTCAGTGGAAAGTCCAGGCTCCACAGTCACAGGGTGAGAAGTTTCAGGGCTTGAGGTACTCTTGATTTTTTGGACAACAAATGGCACTACAGAAGGAAGAACAGCAAGGTCGTCTCCTGACCCCTGTCCTGAAAACAGGGGATCACCAATGAGCTCGTTATTTGACAGTTTTTCTTCCTCAGGTGTCAGGAATGTTCTGGGAATATCTTTAGTAGGGAAAATGTTTTCCAACAGCTCTTCCTCTTGCTCTACAACTGTGACTGGAGAGCTTATGTATTTCCTTTCAGTTGTTACAGCCTCAGTTACTCTGTCATCATTAAATGGCAAAAGTATTTTTTTAACAGGTTCAGTTTCTAATTCCATTTCTTCCAGATAAGGACTGGGAGTTGGAACATTTAAAAATC